GATATGGAATTTGCTTCTAGGTCCATTCAAGGCCGGATCAAACTGAAGACACCTGACAGTGATTTTGCTTGTTTTTCAATGGCAGGATCAAGTTTAGAAGATACATTGTCTGCAGTTAGAATCATCACAGCGCAATTACATGAACCTATAGAAAACATCAATGCAGTCGCAGTAAACCGAACACTCTGGGAGCGCAGAAATGATGTGAGTCTTGCATGTGCCTCCATGCGAATATAGTTTCACATAACATGTACGACGTGTATGTTGGCAAAGCAGAGTATAGATATATCTTTCCGTATTGCAAAACAAGTTTTGGATCTCCCTTGTCATCTGGCGGGAGGAAAGACTGACTGACTGACTGAGTTTGGTTTTACGCCGCTTTTAGCAATATTCCAGCAACATCACGGCGGGGGACACCAGAAATGGGCTTCACACATTGTACCCATGTGGGGATTCGAACCCAGGTCTTCGGCGTGACGAGTCAACGCTTTAACCATTAGGCTACCCCACCGCCCCTCGGGAGGAAAGAGAATGACGATCTGGAACATGTGTACTTTCAAGGGGTGATGGCATAGGAGATAATACAGTGTTGTCTCTGCTCCTGAAAGAACTGAAAATTCGGACTGGACTTTTCGCCCACAAATAATGCAACCATATACCTAAATGCGCACTTGTCAGTGAGATACAAAGTGTCTGAATCAGTTGGAAAATTAGACATTCACAGAAAACAGAAAACTGTAGATAAACAGTGAAAATAACCTTGAAAGATTTGCAACATCGTGCATCTCCAAAGACTATAATTCTAAGAGTCAAAAGGCATATGTATCTATTTTATTGCAATATTTGAGTTCTTTACCCTGGTGGTATCTGATACTTTACACAATTTCTATTGCCTTGGGATGGGCACAGAGATTTCACGCAAAGTGAACGTTTCCTGATGAAATTGATGCGTAAATTTCCAAAAAAGGCCGATTTCCCCCAAAATATGATTTTCAAGTATTTATCTGTATTATTGCCTTTCGGTCATTTAATTAAATAAAACCAATTCAGAATATGCCTTCACACCATTGGTGATGGAACCTTATCAAAAAAGTGAAGAATTATATGTCTAAATTAAACGTTGTAATTATATATGTTTTGGCCTTGGTGGGATCACGTGACATGATTTTTTTTAAAACTGGATCATATCTGGCCACCACATTATGTCCTATGTTAATGTAGGTACAATAAGTTTTCCAATGAGCCATAATATGTCCATACAAGAGATGGGGGCATTAAACTCCTTAATTTGGCCACTTTTCTTGAAATCGCTGCTCTCCTAGCATGGCTTGTATCGTTTTAATTACTGAGGTATCCGGAATTCGAGATAACCGCAGTGTCTGTAATAGATCAAAGTATGGATGTTAATGCCTTAAGGGTTAAGTTACATTATCTATAAAAATCGAGTTACCTGCAATTCGAGACAAGCGTTGTGTCGGTATTTGACCAAAATGCGAATTGTCATGGTGGAACCTGGTCATTTCATTTTTAAGATGTCAGTTATTCGAGATAAGCGGATTCACTAATATCGAGTTTAAGGAGATCCACATGACGAGGTCTCAAAAGTTAACGTCGCTCGTTTTGAGGTAATAGCAATAGACTGGGGTTTATGTTACCAACAGTTATTCTCGTCAAGGCATCATGGCCGCGTCTAAGGGGACATTAAACCAGGTAATGAAGAAAGCACTTGCAAGGATGCTTAAGATGTAAAAATGAGAAGAATCCTTTGGTTATAAAAGTTGGAATTTAGGATAGGTCGGGCTGTTCAGTGTCAGAGAGTGTTCCCGCTCAGACGTCCGGCTATACTGACGTGTTTGTTACGTCATGGTAAATGTAGTTGAACACCTCCTGTGACCGGCATGCAAAGACTGTGAAGTTGTTTGTCTGTTGTATAACGCTGCGCTCAGCAGTATTCCAGCTATCACAGGGGCGTGTCACGCTTAGAAGCAGCGTTAGAAAGACATATATGTATATAGACCCTACCCTAGTACTCCTGTTATATAGTACTAGGGTAGGGTCTATATACCTATATGTCTTTCTAACGCTGTTTCTAAGCGTGACACGCCCCTGTGCCAGCTATATCATGGTGGTCTGTAAATATCTGGACCAGATAATCTAGTGATTGACATCATGAGCATCGTTCTACGCATTTAGAAAGCGATGAGTTGATGAAGATCAATTCTAAGGCAACAAAATCGTTATGGGTCACTTCGCGTTTTTATTTATTTCAAGAGAACTAAACTTTACAATTCTTCAATTCATTATCATGACGAGAATATTAGAACTGTGTTGTATGTCAGTGTTCATCATATTTCGTTTTGAAAACGCAATGGAATAAATGCATGCACCTTTCCAATAATATGCCATAATAAAAGTTAGGGACTGACGCTATTTTAAAAGCGTATACATATAATTAGGATTACTAACGTTCATGGTTAAACATTCTAGCTTCTCAAAAATCAAAGTCGGGGCCACACAATCGAGTGATTGACATCGTGAGCAACTATTCACACCATCGGCGTACAATAATAAACAACCAACCAATTTGCAGTAACTGACAAACCTAATCCATTAAGTCGTCATTGATAAGAATAACGATATAAGTATTTCAACCTAACCTACGCTACGTATTTTCTCACAGGTATAAGGATGAATGTGTGTGTGCGTGCGTGCGTGCGCGTGCGCGCGTGCGTGTGAGCACTTGCACTTTACTTGACTGATCCCAGTTTCATGGTGTTAATAGCGCACTAAGATACCATGTTGGAGTTTAACATGGACACCTACTCAGACACATCGTACTGACTTCCAGCCGACCGTCCTTCTGTTATCCCCCCAATGTCCCTCGACAAGAGGTTTAACACATAACGTCTTCGGGATCACTCAGGGATTGCTTCCATGTTAATCCGATATGCCATTAACGATCATCAAAATAAACATCAAAAGCAACGGTCAAAAGCAACTTTAGCGCTATACAAAATAAATTTGAAAAATTCATAAAAGTTCAATGTAAATTGATGCAAAACACTACAATGCTGTATGCAGTATGTGATACATGTCCGCGGCACTTATGTTTTATGAAATCATGCCAAAAAGTGAAAAACATGCGCCTTTTGGGCAGCCGAAACTACACGTGCAACTAGTGTATATAAATGATACGAAAAGGCATTCGAGCTACTGACGCAGAACACGTGAAGATCCGGGTTAGAATTGATCTTCAGTAACCCTAGTACAGCATATAACTAGACGACTTTGCACTATACCAAGGTGTGCTCGCCTTGGCTGGAATACGAGTATATTCATATGAACTACAGTAACCCATGCTTAATTGTCGTCAGTCTTAGTAAACTTAGGCTCAGTATTATTCGTTACACTGCTATACTGAGACTCAGTATAGCAGTGTATTAACGAATAATACTGAGCCTAAGTTTACTTAGACTGAATTGTCGTAAGAAGCCACTAACTGGATCGGGTGGTCACTCTCGCTGACTTGGTTGACACATGTCATCGTATTCCAATGCTTAGATCGATGCTCGTGCTGTTGATCACTGGATTGTTTGGTCCAGAATCAATTATTTACAGACCGTCACCGTGAGTGCGGCGTTAAACAACCAACCAACACTCACGAAGAAGTACATGACGGCGACATCCCAAACACCACCACGCAAACAACTGTCAAGTGCAAATCGTCCAGTCTTACCTCCGCATGAGCTTGTCTCTGCAAATAGGCATGTTGTAAATGATATACAACCTAGCTTAGATGTGCCAGTTGTGTATACGTCGCTAATGTTCATATTTCAGCGGCTGGAAATGGAACACGGTGTGATGATTATATCTTGACAAGCTAACAACGCCTTGCCCACATGACAATATACCAAGGCCGTCGACACCAGAAATGTACTTCACAATTTGTAGCCATGTGGGGAATCGAACCCACGTATCAGCAGGAGGAGCGACCGCTTTAACCACAAGACTCCACGGCCCCTGTAGTGTTGAAGCTGAACTCTTGGAGAGGGGGATGGAAATACCTTTCATATTTTATCATTATTACTTGAACCATGATAGGTGACTGAACATTGTTTAACATTGTTGCAGTCATGAAATGTCCACCTTCGTTGTATGTTGCTACTACACCCTCCATAACCAGGCGTGCAGCATCTATCCTCTGTACATATGTAGCCTTTGGCCAATGGGTGAAGTGTTCACCCAATTCTGTGTGGGATTTTGTTGATAAACAAACTCTTACATTCTGTAACAAAATGTTTTATTTGTACACAAATTTCATAGCTTGAAACCTCATTCATATACAATTTTCATATATGCATAAACTATAATTAACAATAACACATGTAGATGTAAAAGTCTTTCAACATAAAACACAACAAATTCCACCTATTAGTGAACTGAACACTTTTAACGAGAGGACAAGTCAAAATTCTGAAAGACGATTGGTCTAAGACTCTGTATGTTGGCCATAATCCATAAATCTACTGAAATAGCATGACTGGACATAGGCAATACCACACACATGCCTCATCCTTATTAGCATAAATATACACTATTCAGGGTGAGTGAGTGAGTATAGTTTTACACCGCTTTTACCCTTTTTTCAATATTTCAGCAATAACACCCTTAAAAGAGGGACACCAGAAATGGGCTTCACATAAACTTTTTGCATGTATGTAACATGTACCCATGTATTTTTCAATGCGTAGTGGAATCGATTCCAGGCCTTTCACATGACAAAAGGGCTTTAACCAAAATTCTACCCAGCCAACCCCGCCATCCCCGATTATTCTGAAATCTAAACAGACATGCAAAATCCTTAGGTGCACCTTACATATTGTTTTACATAATCTAATAGATATGGCGCTAGTAGAGTTTCACGTCGCCTCAGCATTATTTCAGCCATAAAGCGCCGAGACCAAGTCTGCATACATACACTTTTAACTACATAGTTTAAATGAGTTTCTTAAAATACATATTTATTCATTACATTATTATTTACACACAGAGAAAGTCATAGCACCAAATTTAAAAACAAGCAATCAACCATACAATACAACAGTGTACAAGAGGCTGTACAATCAACGTAAACAAGGGATAAATATGCAAATGGAAAAAGTATTTCATTGTACTGGATATTATCTCAATATAAGTCAACCATTTCATGACATACGTTTATCTAAAAATGTAAAAATCAATGATATGAAAAACAAACGAAATATCCTGAAAGGATTAGTAAAATAAGAAACATGGTTATATCGTGCTGGCCTGTGAGGGATGTTGACAACATGGAACTCTGGGAGTACATTTTACTACACTCATAACAAACCAGAATGTGCACCAACATCTGGCTACTCTCCATCTTGAATCGGCTCTATTATGTAGCCATTGTGCAGTTCAGGAAATTGTTCATTCAAGTTCTGAGTTTTTTCAGTGCTTGTAGCCACTGAGGACCTTGTTCCAATGTTTGTGCTCAGATTTGTCTCCCCTTGATGCCTTCAAGTGAGGGCGCCAAACATGTCGTCCATTTGTGCACCTGAAAAAACGAAATATCCAATGAAATGTTTCCAATAATATGATGCAGTGTAGCTCAGAGTAAGTGTCAGTGTTTTTCTCAGCAACTTATAATGATGTCCTTGCAGTAATTTTTAGCAGACACAAAAAATCGGGTTTACAAAAATGCCCCCAGAATGAAAGGACCAGTAATTGTTTACAACAGGGGTCACAGGTTTAAATGTACTAAAAATGTTGACCCTCCTCTGAAGCTTGTCATGTTTGAGTGAGTGAGTCAGTTTAGTTTTACTCCGCACTCAGCAAGATCCGGCTATATAGCGGCGGTCTGTAAATAATCGAGTCTGGACCAGACAATCAAGTGATCAGCATCATTGGCATTGACCTACACAACTGAGATACGATGACATGTGTCAACCAAGTCAGCGAGCCTGTCCACCCGATCCCGTTAGTTGACTCTTACGACAAGAATGGGTTGCTGAAGATCAATTCTAACCCTCACAGGTAAGGATGATAGAATAGATAGGCAGGGCTCCAGATAATTTTTCAACATAAGGAGTACAGGAAAAACTTAAGAGTACATTTGGAGTCCTGAATGGAATTAAATGGAGTATGTGATCTTGTGTTTCGTTTCATATATGCACCACAGCATTGCTACTCTTTTGTAAACAGGTCAAAAAACAATACCATTGCTGTGGTGCGTACCTGCTACTGTTTCTAAATTATATCCTACCGTATCGTGCATATTTTTTATCCGTACATACGCCCATACGGCCCTTATCTGGAGCCCTGGATAGGTCTCTGTTCCACAATGTGATCAATGTGCTATGACTGGGAGGTAAAATGATTAAGCCCTACAGTTAGTTTGTAGAATGGGGCCCAGAACAGGGTGGAATAACTGGAGAAATGACTTACCCTTGGGTGGAATGTTCCTCGTGGGTCGGCTTGAGGTAAGTTACATTATAATGACAACAGCTCCAGAAGTAGTATTTACCTTCAGTGTTGTAGGCTGAAACAAAACAACAGTACTTGAGTTGCACGGAAAGTAATTGGCTTTCAAACACTACCCATTCATCATACAAAATCATTTCAATTCTATCAAATTTTTGACAAGGTCCTATTTCACAATAACCGTGAATATCTGGGTTAGAATTGATCTTCAGTAACCCTTGTTTGTCGTAAGAGCGACTCATGGGATCGGGTGGTCAGACTCGCTGACTTGGTTGACACATGTCATGGTATCCCATTTGCGTGGTTTGATGGTCATGCTTTTTTATCACTGGATTGTCTGGTCCAGACTTGATTATTTACAGACCAGGGGTATAGCTACCAATATTATAATAAGCCCGGGCTTACACATGATCGTTGCTAAAAAGGTTGGGCAAGCCCTCAATAATATCAAAATCTAAAGCTTCGCAAACTATCCGGCTTACACACACAAAAAAATGGCTTGCTACGGGTGCAGACCACACAGCTGGAATATTGCTGAGTGCGGCGTAACTAAACTCACTCACTCACCTATTTCACAGTACTGTGACAATACACTGTATACACAGAAGTTTCAATAATACGAAGCTTCCAGTAGATTGCACAGAATAATAATTTTAGCAAAAAATAGGTTATTATATATAGGAATGAGAATGGGTATGGGTTAGAAAAGAGGAAACTCACATACAAATCACACTAGCTAATGGTTACAGATGGTCACCTACTGAGAGACAATAACAGTAATGTCAGAGAGCCCCAGTTAATAAACTGTCAGATGTACAGGGAATGTGTTCATTTGTGAAAGGATACTTTCGTAGATCCCTCTATATTTCTAACACTCTCATTTCAGTAAAACCCTGGATCCGTTCCTGTGGTTTTGACAAACTCAACATTTGATTGGCTGTGCAGCTAGGTCTAACATACCAATCAAAAATGAGTTATAAACCAGCCCCAGTTTTGAATGTGATATCAACAACAGGGTGGGCAGTTTTGGTCGATCTTCGGGAATTTAATATTGGAAAACTGACTGACACGCAAAATAAATCACTAAACATTCTTTTAAACGGGAAGGGTTTCTTCATGTCCAATAAAACTAGCGGTGGTTTTGGTTTCCAGGTGATATGAGTTACCTCCCTTAACCCTTCCCGTATGTTGACGTTTTAATGATTGGTAAAATGTGAAAAACAAGGTCAGGTAACTCAAGATCACAAGCACCACGGGAATGGTTCCAGGGATAAGTGAATCTTTACCAAAATGTGAGTACAGAAGAAGGGAGATAACTCTCTCTGTAAGTGAACTCTGTTTCAAGTGCTCCTTGAGTCGACCAGGTTGCCACTTCACGGCACCAACTGTACCCAAGGGTAGCCTAGTGGTTAAAGTGTTCGCTCGTCACTCTGAAGACCCGTGTTTGATTCCACACAGAGATACAATGTGTGAAGCCCATTTCTGGTGTCCCCACCTTGATATTGCTAGAACACTGCTAAAAGCAGCATTCATGTTTTTTCTTACATAAATTGTGAGCAAAATAAATGTTTATTCATAAGCATTTTCTGAATAGATAGTTCTGTTATGTTACTTAAAAAATACATAAGAGAATGTCTCTTCTTGGTTACCATGGTTACATTTAATTATTTCATAACTATTTTCCATAAACCACCCAACTAGAATTGAAGAATATTAAATGTTCTGTCCCTATATCTGTCATGCTGACGCGACAGATCTGACATAGAGGCACAGGAGCCTTAAACAAGAAGAGCAAACACCTTAACCACTGGGATTCCTCACAGCTTCTTAACTACATTGTACTTACAGATGAAGCCTTTGTGGTAATAACATATTTCATCATTGACCTTCAGGGAGTCGTACATCTTGAGGCAATTCAGGCAGTGGCCTCCTATCAAGGGGTCCACCTTATCCTTGCCCGTAGGTTGGTACCTCTTACTGCAAAAAATGATTCAAATCTGAAAAGGTTACATATATGCATCCAAAACTAGATCATTTGAAAATATTCCGTATTCAGATGAACTCACAACTTCAACTGAAAAACTGTTTGGTTTTATAAATTAATCTCGATATATAATTTTTTATCAGATTAACAGAAACTTATGACTGAACCTACCTTGGTGAATTAGTATATTCAACAGGGAAGTTTCTGTGGCTAGTATATTCAACAGGGAAGTTTCTGTGGCAAGTGTGGAGTCTTGGGACACCAAAATGTATCACAACATTATGGGGCTTGGGCATGAGAAACACACAGTTCCATTCTTTTAAACCAAATGTCATGAAAACATGTGACTTGCTAGTTTTGGTTTGGTTGTTGTTTAACGCCGCACTCAGCAATATTCCAGCAATATGGCGGCAGTGCAAGGAGGGGATGGAACGAGCAAACATGAAACATTCTTCACATCAGTTTCGCTGCTTGTAGAGTTCAGTCATTTCAATCTCTTCCTAAAAATTACTTCTCAATGAATTCAAAGTCAATGGACACAGAATATTTATTTCTCTAAGTAAGCCCTCCTGGGTGTACCCAGTCAGCTCTGGTACCCAATGTTTAAACCTTACTGTACAATCAGACTTTTGGGATGCATCCATTGATTGATTTGGCTGGTTATGTGATTTCATGCCACAAACTATGGATTGTAAGCCTCTAGTTTTCCTGTCTCATTAACATGCAGCCACTGTAATGCTGCTGGAATATTGCTGATTGTGGCTTAAAACAACATTCACCCACTTGTTAATAAGTTCAAATACTACTAGTACGTACTGTTTATCATCTTTCAATACCTTCTTTTCAAAGTCACGAGACATTATCTCCTTCCGATCTGCAGAATAAAATATATCATTAGAAACAAAATAAACATTTAACTGTCCCAAGCCTTGGTAGGATTTTCAAAATTCTTTCATGAGACAGACAATCTGTGATACTTAGTTGCGTGGATGTAATTCTTTGTCCTAGCATTACCCAGACGTTATATAAAAAAATTAAACAATCTGAATTTCCCTGTCACAAGCAGAAAAATAAAACAATCTGAATTTCCCTGTCACAAGCAGAAAAATAAAGCAATCCAGTAAAACAATGTCTCACAAACCTGTTTATGACATCACTAATAATGGCCGACGTCAAACTTAAATATTAATCCTTAAAATCTTAAAGGGGTAAAAGGAACTACAGAAAACTCACCCATTTCAAAATTATAAGCTGTTTTGGCATCAGAACTAGATTTCTCGCTAAAGAACCTTGAGTTTTCCCTTGCTGCAGCCTGAATGCAAAAAACAAACAATACAACATGGATGTCTTGTAAGCATGAAACCGTGCAGCAAGGACATGATATGCTGTGTATCACCAAGATCCAGGGATGAGAATGACGTTTTGAGAAAAACTCTCAAAACTAGTTGGGGGTCTGGTGGCCGCAGGCTTTAGATGATTCACAAAAATGACCCTTGGCTTTATGAAATTCCTCAAATTCCGAGGAAAATTGTCATCCCTGAAAATCATTATGATACATTGGTACGACAATTTACAATAAATTCTTCAGCACAAGTTGCAAGGGAAAAGCTAGCTATAGACAAGTTTGTTGCATGTTTTGTATGTAATAAACTTGAAACCTGATCACAATTCATTGTGTGATATTTGTCTTGGATAAAAATATGGGATGGGCAGAATCATTAGTTAGTAAATTTAAGTCAGTGTGTCGTCTTGTATTGATACAGAAAAAAATACATTGTATCATTGCACATATCATTGTATTGTTTTGTATTGGTACAGAAAAAATGCATTTTGTATCGTATTGTTGTATCATTGTATTGTCTTGTATCAATAAAGAAACAAATGTATCGTGGATTGTATTGTTGCACACATCATTGTATTGCCTTGTATTGATACAGAAAATATTGCATAGTGTATCTTATCTTTGCACATATTGTTGTATTGTCTTGTATCGATACAGAAAAAATTCATTGTATATCTATCGTTGCATGTAACCCCACAATGCACTGCTGTATTGGTCCAACCATAATGTGATGATGCTGTCATCTCCATGGCTATTCTTCAATTAACAGGGTTTTTTTTAAAACTGTAATCGCAAACTACCAGGTAAACATATGCACAATAACATTAAAAAAATACTTACAATACAACAGAAACTAGTTAATGTGAGTAGCCATACCTATGAAATTTAAAATATCCAACACCAAGAGAGAGTGAGTGAGTTTAGTTTTACACCACTTTAGGCAATATTTCAGCAATATCATGGCAGGGGACACCAGAAATGGACGTCACGAATTTTACCCATGTGAGGAACTGAACCTGTGTCTTTGCATGATGAACAAAGGCTTTAACCACTAGGCTACCCCACCGCGACAAGACTGTTGACAAAGAATAGAAATATCTAAATACCCTTCTTTCTCGTTCCTTTTGATGCTTTCGGGAAGCCTCAGACTGAATCGTCTCAGCAGCTGCTGTCAAACTCAGAGTGATGTCCGCGAGACTTTCACGTGACTTGCACCAAACAGTCACCATTGTCTTCTGTTTGTCTTTGTCCATAAACGCCTTTGTCTTCTCTCCATCAAACTGAACCACACAGTCAAACTTCCTATTTATGTCACAAAACCCTTTGCCAGTAGTTGTTTCAAGGGATTTGCTATTCCCTCCAAATAGCGGAAGGATGATGTCCGTCTTGATGGAACACTTCTTTTTCTCTTCCTGATGATGTGAGGAATGGCTGAGGGAGATGTTTTCTGTTGTTTGATTTCGGTTGGTTTCAATCTCATTTCCTGCTCAAGGAAACTAAAATCATTGTCAAGAGCGTTTGCCAGAACATGGAGCAACTTCTTCACGCTTGGGTTATTAAGGCTAAGGGTCTGTGCGTCTTCAAAAAAAGCTTTAGTTTGGGGGTAAGCATCCCACTTAGGCAGTTGAAAATCCATGTATAATCTGTCCAAATCTTCAGCTTTTACTTCAATGCTGTCCACATCATAATCAGCTGTAAACAAACACAAAACATATGGATTTTATATTTATCATCCAAAACTATGTGAGATCAAACAAAATCTCCAAGGGATATCGTTTTGACAGTAGATTTTGTACAATGCCCTGATGACATCAATTACAATACCATGACATCAAATACCTGATGACATCACAATGCGTTGATGTCATAAAATTTTGATGATGTCACAATGCTATGACATCACTGCACTGCAACACTAATGGCAGTACCATTTTCAGAGATGTACATTTTTCATTGAAAACTAAAGAAGAGTGATTTTCGATGATAAATAGAATCTCACTCTTGTGTCTTCTGATATCAAAAATATCAACACTTGCTGATAAAAGTAAAAATATCCTCGGCAAGCCTCGTATATTTGTAACTTTATCAACTCGTGTTGATATTATTGATGTTAGTTGACACTTGGGCGGGATTCTCTATTTACTACCTATCTTACAGATTATATTAAAAAACAACTGAAATATGAAAACACATCATTGAAGTGATCATTAAATAATAGTTGGAGACATAACATTAATGAAAAACAATACTATTAAAATAGAAATTGAGGGGCCAAGGTATCCACAGGACAACCTGTAACAGCAATAGTAATCACATGCACGTTCTTTTTCTTAGGTATAAATAAAAATATCAATGTGCTAATAGATCAATAATCAGTGAAGATCTGAGTTAGAATTGATCTTCAGTAACCTATGCTCATCGCAAGAGGTGACTCATAGGATCGGGTGGTCAAACACGCTGACTTGATTGACACATGATCAACATTGTATCCCAATTGCGTAGATCGATGCTCATGGTCACTGGATTGTCCAGTCTCAATTATTTACAGACTGCCGCCATATAACTGGAATATTGCTGAGTGTGCGTGACACTAAACTCACTCACTCACTAATAGACCTTCATTAAACCATATGAACCCAAGTATATATTTCACAAGGATACAACCCATTATCAATTACAAAGGAGATCTTATTTGTTCGAACAAGAAGTCCAATCTCATTGTAAGGATAGATAACGAATAACCACATAGTACCTTACAAATGCTCACATACAATTAAACCCTTTTTATCAGCATTCTAGAAGTTGGTGAGTCAATATTGAAGCATACGACTTTATGGATAACAACTTCTTGTTCATTGCATAGAATGACGTTTTGGTATAGATTCTTACACTGTCATCCAGCTAAGAGTGAATCTTCTAATCGCTGGCAACAATTAGGCCTATAGAGTCTTAGAATTTAACAACTCTTTAGAGTACAATCTTTCCTATGTTATCAGATTTCTATGCTGCCAGTAGACATGTATTAGACAATGCAGCATTAAACACAATGTTCAACGTGTTGCCCCTGACAGCTTACTGACAATGTGTAAGCAGTCTCTGTAAGTGAGCTTACTCACACGAAAAGATTGAAAATTTGTGACAGTTTGTATTTTGTATATAACAGAATAGTGGGAATACAACTGTCTTAGAACTGTTATAGAAACCATTATTAATTTAATCAAAATGAAAAAAATGATGATTTGTTCAAGAAAACTTAACCTCTGCAAAAACATTTTAATTGATTATTGTTTTAGTAAGGGACCCTTCATAATTTATGGCTAGGGGTTGGTGGGGGTTGGGTTGGAATGTATTATGATTTTTATGGAGTAGCATGTACAATGTGAATGACCCCCACCCCTCCTAAAATTTAAGTACAAAGTAATTAAGTGACCACCCTGCATGTCATGTACAAAATTAATGACCCCCACCTCCACTTCCCATAATTCCTAAGCATAATTTTATTTAAGAGTTCCTTCCGTTCCCCCAACTCTAAACCTAACCCTAACTTAAATTTTGGACTTTTAGTCATTTTGTGAGTTCTCTAGTAATTGTTGTGTTAAGTTTTGTTAATAACTTTAGTATATTTATAAATGTTATTTGGGATGGGGGAAGGGGAGGAACTCTTAGCCTAATGTATTATGGAGAATATAATACACTCAAAATATATTACAATCAATCAACGTTAAGACGACAAACTCACCTTTCTTCGTATACTTTCGACAGGAGCACACAGCCATTGCCAACCGAGGTCCATATTTCTTGGGTAAGAATTGGAGTTTCTGCAGATCTTTCCTTGCATTCTCAAATTTGACCTTATCACTATGATATATGCAACTCGGCATCCTCGCGATTAGTCTAATTCCACTTATTATAATTACTTCGTTTTGCTATAGATTACAGTTTTTAAAACGCGCACAGCTAGACGTTTAATCAAATTCTTTAAAGCATTTTCAGTTTTGGTCAATGCTAACAATTAGAAAACAATTTAAATATTATCTAATGCAACATCAATAAATATTCATTTAAAAAACAACTAGGCCTTTCGTCTAAGAAATATTACATAACAGGAATGACCAGGAAATCAATAAAGTTAGGTTAAAAGAACCTTACTCCCAAACTCAATCAGTCAATGCACCTCACGACTGCCGATTTGCAATACCAATAGACGATGCTCATGTCAAACCAAATGTCACTGCTTGTGGCTGACAGGCTTTGCAAATGTTCGGATAGCTCTCCGTTTCCCTTTTATATGCAGCTAAGCTGAGCAACGGTTGTGCAATATAGAAGAACTGACGTGTTCCCAATCACTGTCGAGAACGTTCGCAGTGTTGATATATTTTATTTTTAGCAACTTGTGTAAGCTCCATTCCAACGCGTGATGCGACGTGTTGCAATAGAAAGAAGAAAACGCAGGGACCTCAACGTCGCTGTTGAGAGCCTTAACCACGTGCTTCCGTGTTGTTCTCTGCGCCGTCTATAAATAAACAACCGTCAAGGGAGGCAATTTTTCGCCAATGTGTTCGTGTTCGTTGTCCTAGGTGGCATTTGTCCGGGTGGTTTTTGTCCTGCTCCCGATCTTAACATGGGGAGTACTGCACTTTTTATAGCGAAACAGTGCGGTACCGCTATAGCGCGAAAATTGCCCAGCAGCGAACAGCGAGGGCTGCGCCCGGTAAAATGCATTCTAGCATTGACCTGTGAATGATACTCAAATAAACCCTTGATAATTTACAAATTCAAATTTACAAAGTTAACAAATACATTTGTTTTTCCGTTATTTTTTATTCTAAACTGTCTGCCCCGATATCAGTGATAAGTACGCCTATTGAATGGGTTTGTTATTCACCTGCTGATATGTGAACATGAAAAAGAAAACAAATGTCATTTTCACCTCTTAATGATTGAAGCATACAGTTCCATTAAAGGACGATTCATAGTACTTATTGCAGATAGTTCATTCTACTTTTCTCATTTGATGAACAGTTACTGTGAGGAATTGCTGAATGTTTTCCCATCATTTAACATAATTAATGGGCGCTATAACGAATTGCTGATTTTTTCCCAATCATTTGACAAGATTAATAGTGGCTATAATGTACTGCTGGTTGTTTCCATCATGAAATATAGTATGACCAGAAATTATTGAGAATTTTAGGAATATGTTTAATTGGATTTCTAGTATAAACAACCTTGGCCAGCTATCAAGTGCTTGGTTTCATTCAAGAGAGACAAGTCCGTTAATCATTTTTCATTAGTTTGTGAAGAGTTATCCCCCTTTGTTTACTTGCTAGCAGACGACATTTTCAGTGATCCTCAGTATGGATGATTTAGAGAAGAGGAAGTTGATTTTAGAGTATTATAACAAGGACATCAGATCAGCTAAAGTGATTTCAAGTAGAACATGCATCCTTTTGTCCACTGTTTATCGTGTTTGGAAAAATATTGCAAATGGATATGGCATTGAGCACCACGGAGGCGCAGGTAGGCCCAGAAAATTGTCTGTCGGTGACAGGAGGCGGCTTGGTATTCTTGTTTCTAAAACCAAACGAAGGAGTTTAGAAAACTTAAGGCTGGATATGATTGATAGAGGAAGTGTGGCTGTCTGTAAGGAGACAATTAGAACTGAGCTGCATGCAATGGGTTGGCAGAAAAGTCGAGGAATTCTATCACCGATCATGAAACCTGAACAAAAGGAGCGAAGGTTGAACTGGTGCTTACAGCATAGGAATTTTAACTGGGACAATGTGATTTTCTCAGATGAAAGTTCTGTGTGGCTGTTTCCTAATACACTGAAATTCTGGACCAAACAAACTGAAAACCTTTGTATCAGCATCAAAGTACAGTCCAAAATTTAACGTGTGGGGTGGCATATCTGTGTTAGGGGCAAGCGCCTCTGTGTATTTTGAAGGGAATATGAACAGTGAGCGGTTCACAGATATTCTCGAGGGACATTTACTTCCATCTGTTCACTCACGTGTTCTATGGACATTTGTGGATTTTCCAGCAGGACGACCCAAAACATCGTTCAAAGCATTCACAGGCCTGGTTTCGGACCCAAAATATGACATTATTAGATTGGCCAAGCTATAGCCCTGACCTAAATCCAATAGAAAATGTTTGGGGACTTATGAAGGAAAGTGTCAATAAGAAAAATCTGACAAATATTGCTGAAATGAAATAAGAGGTGGTCCGATATTGGGACAGCATGGACCACGACTTTCTAACTTCTTTGATCAGTAGTATGTCCCGCCGCATTGAAGCCTGCATTGCTGCCCATGGTGACTTGACAAAACACTAACTGTTCACCTGTCTTTGAATCTGGAGTTATGTTCTGAGTGAGTAATGAGTGAAAAAATAAAAAAATTACAATCTTTAAATTCTCAATAATTTCTGGTTGTACTGTACAATTGATGGTAGCTTTTAAAGAATTCTGATTGTTTTCCATCATTTAGCCTAATCAATAGTTGCTATAACAAATAGCTGATTGTTTTCCATCCTTTAACATAATAAATTACACTATAACCAATTGCTGATTGTTTTAAACTTCATTTATAACATTATTAATCAATAACACTAGCTTGTTGTGAAAACAAAACATCTAACATCCACAAAAATAAAGGTTTTTTATTACATAAATCATGCATATTTTTACATTCATTCCATCAATATGGTCCCTGATGCCACTCTATCCAGACAAACACAATTCAACATGCCAGTATAGCAGAAGCCATTTCATGTAAACTGCAGAAAAATATTTCACATAAACCAATACATGAAACACATAGTGTGTGACTGCATTGTGACCTAAACATTACAATCTTTATCAACATTATATACAAATTATTTTCAAATGTCTGATAACAATTTTCCAATGAATTATTTACCGCTTAAATATACTACTTGACATTTCACAGGAATATGTCAGATGGGGTGAGTGAGTTTAGTTTTACCCCGCTTTAAGCAAAATATTCGAGCAATATTGAGGCGAGGGACACCAGAAATTGGCTTCACACACTGTACCTATGTGGGGAATCGAACCCTGTTCTTCGACGTGACGAGTGAACACTTTAACCACAAGGCTACCCCACCGCCCCTAAATGTCCCAGCAAGTCACATACAAATTGTATAAAAATCTACTTAAACTATGCTAAGTAACATGGGGACATAAAAATGAATTCAACACATTGTACCCACACAGGGAATCAAACCTGAGCAATGGATGTGATGAACTAACACTCTTACCACTGTGCTACCACACTGCCGGTGACTTGAGGCAATGAATAGTCATCAAAAATAAAACATTACTTACTGTGTGTTTACAAGCACTTGTCATTAACAATGATAATGGAGGTAAGATATGGCTGTTGGTATTTGAATAATATTATGCATATATGTATCAATGACACCTGTATTTCAATAGTATCTCTATTTCAGAATAGGAGACGGAACAAAATGTATTGGCATAATTTGTTCAAGGCCCCAATCCAGAAAGCATTCATAGCACTTTGAGTGAATGAGTATGGTTTTATGCCGGTTTTAGCAATATTTCACCAGAAATTGGCTTCACACATTGTACCCATGTGGGGAATTGAACCCGGCCTTCAGCGTGACGAGCGGACGCTTAACCACTAGGCTACCCCATCACCCCCTTAGTAGCACTACATCACTACAGCCAATGATATATACAAATGCTTTGTAGGTTGGGACTTTTTCAGAAACTTGCCATTGCTGAATCTCACTCAAAAACATATTTTAAAAATCTGATGATGAGAGATTAGTACCAAGTTAAAAAAGCATGTCACCACCTACACTGACATAGTCTGGTGTTCATTCTTTCATTAAATGCAGAGATAAATAAAATGCCGTAAAATCATGCACAGCACAAGCACATCACAAGCACATACCTACATGTTAGCACATGAGAGAAGTTGTGTACAGCGCTGAAATATCATATCAATTCACATTCTGATATCTCATTTCATGGCTGTAACTTATCCAAGCCAATGCCATGGGCATAGAAGAAATGCAAGTCCAGTCTTAGGTACCTGTTGTTGCAGAAGTCAACAGTTACCACTTTTCATTCTGCACACATTTATCTTCAGCATCATCCACTTGAATGTCTAGAATGTCATCTTGCCATAATCATAATATTCATCACCAATAATTCTTTATCTTAATGATCCTTCAGTCAACATTGCGATCAAGCCCTATGATGTAGGATATCATGTATAAATAATATCAAATATAGTTAAGAGTCATGCCTGAGTTAAACATGGGGAGCTTGTTCATTGCTGTCAATCACATGACATTCTTGTCAGTGTCCTCATTGTCCATCACTCAACAAGGTCACACACCTCATCAGTGCATTCACCATAACTTCATTGGAGAGAAAATGAATGCATTTTCTATGAATGGGTTTGATGAAACAGCTCTCTGATAAAAAGAAAATATGAAAATATAGTCCACAATTCCTAATCCCGCCTCTTTTTCACCCGTTGTCGTTGAGCAGTTTGATCATCAGCTGATTCTGAGCCATTCTGTCCTAGCAATTCCCGTACAAACTTGAACTTGCTTAGGAACAGCTTCCATACGATGTACCATCCTGAGACAGAAACAAAAAGAATATATATATTCAGGCAAGACCAATTTTATTTCTTGTTTTACGGATATGCCAGTCATATTTTTTCAAGAATAAGAATTAAAAAATTCACCACTCAAAAAATAAAACCCTAATGTTAATGTGACATACGTGAAATACTCTTGAAATCAGTGTGAAACCTAAACTCACTCAACTTATTTTTAGTTGATATAAACAAACCAAAAGAGTTAACATGGAAACTCATGTGGGGTTTTGCTACTAACTGGTGCTTTTTTTCCCACTCCTGCCTTAAGGTTTTCTGAGGACAAATATCCATAAAAAAAATAAAAAATTGGTCTGGCCTCAACGCAAAAAGCAATTTTGGCTTGAGAAAGTTGATCATGGTTATAACACAAGTTTTCCAAACCGACTATATATTTGATAACAACAAGTAGTGACACAAGATTTATTTATCATGACCTCAGAGATGAGAAAGCTTCCCTGCTGAAAGAATTTTCACCATGAGTGTATGAAAATAGATAAGTCATGTTTTGCATGTTATTGTGCAAAGATGTTTCAAAATTCCAAATATATTTTAACATTACATCTGTTTAACCCTCATATTAAAGGTTAACTTAAAATATTCTTCTTAACGGATAATCAGTCATATGTTGAATAAACCTGAATAGATAAAATGAAGTTCATTTAATGATAAATGTTGCATATTGCAT